AGCTGAACTATACCATCATTCTTTTGATGTATTTAAATAATATAATATACTCCCAACCCCAACTCCCGAAGAGCTTGACTTAATTATCTGTTTGTATACTGGAGATACAAGTCTGTTTCAGCAAAACAGGTAAGTAGGAGTAACTGGCATTCAGTTTTCAGAATGACCATATTCCTTTTCAAGTCTTACACTACAGTCAGCTTTTGCTACTTCCCATGAACTATTTGCATGCCTGCAGGAAGGCTCACATTATGAGAAGGAGGCACTTTACAGCAGTGATCCACCTTCCTCTTACCATAGAGCTGCCAAATTCAAGAAAAGTCACGTTTTCAACTAAGTGTCGATCATTCCCAGAAAGTCCAAAAAAGGCTCATCTTTGATGTGCTTGTCATTTTTCCACCATAACAAATAGGAGAAAATAGGTAGGTAAAACAGAAAAACAAACAAACAAGAACACACAGTTGTAGTCTTATATTCAACAGCAGGAATCAATGCCTTTATAATTCACTTTTCAGTATGTTCATTTTTCATGGTGAACTCCTCCGCCTCATAGCTCAGTAGCAACATAGATTTAAAAGTATTACTGTTAACAACTCCAAAACTGAGTATACCGTCTCCTATAACATGTAGTTCCCCTATACTGTTGCCCCTCTACCATGCTTGGTATCAGCATTAAAGGAGTAGCAAAGTTAGAGGACTTCAAGAAAAGAACGGTCATGACAGCTAATAAGACCAACACGGAATCTCGTATCAGTTAATGACAGCCTCTTCTAGCGCATGTGCACTCCAATGGTGTTTCCAGCTCTACCCTACGTTTTTTCATTTTCAAGAAATAGTACTTTTTAAAATGACTCAAGAAAAAAGTAAAGCAAGGTTTATATCTTCTCTCATTTTCCCCCACCCTCTCCCACAATGCATCTGGATCTTTGCACTGCCTTGAGCAAGTCTTTTCCAAGCATACAGACCTTGTCTTTTCTCTAAGACTGATATTATTTCTCAAGTTCTGAGACTGAAGGAAATTCTTAAGAGTCATAATTCCACCTAAAACTCACATTCACAAGACATTATTTTTACATCTTTGTTTTCTCCAAAAGAAAAATTAGAACAGAAATCACAAGATGCTCTGGGTCACAGTCATTCATAACCGAATACTGTTTAGTAGTGCATCCATGAGATTTAAGGCGACAAACCTTTCTTAGGGAAAAAAAAAAAAATCTTTCCTATACATTAAAGAAAAGCATAGGCCAGAAACCAGGAGGAAGGAAGGAGGGAAAGTCTTGTAACTACCTGCAGGTCACACAGAAGTCAGTATCTCAGGCCTGTTTTACTAGTAGAGGATTCAGGACATGTTGCTACGTTTTCACTGCCTCTTTCCAGTTGGAGAAACATGCTCAATACCTGCAGCAGTGCTAGCTGAAGCAAAATCTGTTTTGATGGGCTGACCACCATAAAAAAAAAAAAGCAAACTATTTCACACACATCACTACCTGTATTACGTGCCTGTTAATAATAAGTAAATTAGCAACAGTGTTTTTACAGACTAAGAGCTTAAGATGACATTGACACTGTTAGATTGATTTTAAATTCCTTTATGAAGAACTAGAAATTTTCATGTTGCTTCCCTTTTTTTCTTGGTTTTGCACCATACTTAAAAGTTTTACAACAATATAATTCTAGTCTAAGTTTGGGATGATAAAAAAGATACATTCAGCCATTTCTTACCCTTATATATTTGCATGTTTGTCCTAACATCACTGTATCTTCAAAATCCAAGATGTTTTCAGCAATTTCAAGACTACAGAACTCAACTCATGTTTTTTCTCCCCATTCCTGCGCGTACTACACACTTGAAGTATGAGTTGCTGAATACTGACCAAGTATCACTATACCTGTTGGTGAAACTAAGCTCATGAAAGACAGAACATGCACAGATAAGTTGTTTGTTTTTACAATAGTTAACATTGTAAATGACATTTAAATTTGCCTGGCTATTTTATGTGATTTAATGAAAATTGAATGGAAGTGTATGTTTTTAAATTGTTGACTTTAAGACTTTAACACACAGCAAAATGCAAGTAACCAATTTTTAAATTTTTATCCAGTGTTATTAGTTCATTAGCTTTCTCCCCCCCCGAACTGCTGCACCTGATAACACATCTAATTACAAATAATAGAAGGAAAGAAGTCTTCCTGCAAAGATATCAAGGTGTCACTTTAGGAACTAATTTAGGAACTATTGGCAGTTGCTCTCTTCAGATTATATCCAACTTGTGCTAGAATATACAGAATTGTTACTGCTGAAAGACCAGTTTATTTTCATATTATTTCAGTAACCATTGGTCCAGCAATTGTGTTAAGATGTTTACTACTATAGTAGAATTGAAAGCCTGTATAGAACCAGAGTTTACATCCACAATAAAGTCCAAACAGTGTTGGGAAGCCTTTTATTAAAAAAGTTTTAAGCTAATGACGCTCTTTACTGAAAAAGAAATTCTGAGAATAAGTTAATAGTGTCTTTACTTCATTGGCATAAGCTCAAATCACTTCAGATTCCACATGCATTCTCTCTTCCAGATCAGCATCCTGCTCAAAAGGGGCGTGACAATATTATTCTAACAACTCAAGGAGCAGGTATTGGTTGGACCTAAGGTTAAATTAACAAGACTCTATTCTTCTCCTTAAAATTTAGTTCTCTTTCTGCTTCAAGAAACTGTTTGAGCAAAAAGTTGCTTAACATTTTCTCATGTTAGCTGCATGCCACCTACACCCCAATTTCTCACCATGAAGGAAAAGGCTGAATACATTGAACTCAAAAGGCTTTGAGATATTTAGGGAGTATTGTTAGACTGCTAAATTCCTTGTAGCTCAGATAAAAAGACTTATAGGATTTCAACAGCAGCAAAACACTATTATAAGTTATGCTATATGAAGTTACTACATAGGTTCAAAAGCTGCTACCAGTGGGAAATAGTTAGATAAAGAAGCCTTGCAAAGAATACAACTTGTAGTTGTAATCCAGAGGAACTGGATTATTTTCCCTGCTAAAATATGCCATTTTTTGAATATTCAGAGTTATCTGAAGAGCCTTGAGAACAGCGAAGACTTAAAATAAATTGTTTTTCAGGCAAATCTTTGTCATGAATCAGATCTGCTGGCTTCATGACTCAGTGTCCAATGCAAGTTAGACAGCACATTTTCTACAAATATTTTACTCACCGTCTGAACTCTGCTTTTGAAGCACATTTGCCATCCACTATTTCAGTTTTAAAGCCTTTGTGATTGATAGGCGAACAGAACTACAGGTAGGCAACAAAGCATTAATAGATGAAAAGATTAACATAAGTCACATGCCATAAAAATAACTACATACATTGCTCCATATCCTCCTCTCCCTTCAACACAAACTCCGCTGAATCAGTATGCCCTCGGCATCTTATTCAAGAAATATCATATTTATACCATGTAAATATGCATTAACTACTAATACAAAAAAAATACATACATATATATGTTCTGCTGAAGGACATTTTCCATCCTGCAGAAGTCCAAACATCAGCAGTACATGAGAAGGGAAGAGCAGTGCCCATGCTGACTCCTTCCCACAACACAGATCAATAAGTTTCCATCTCTTCAGTGGAGAGGAAAGGAGAGGAAAGCACTCCCAGGAGGGGCTCAGAAGCTGACAACCACCCACTATAATTTGAAGGAAGCAGCAAGTACCACAGAGAATACACACAAAACTCTACAGCATACTTAGTCCCCAGCAAAGCCTCTGTATCAAACTATGCCCCTTAACACGTGACAGGTGCTGCCCGCCTCAACGACTTGCTACACAGGAAACCCGAGAGGGCTCCCCCTTCCCCAAATGTAAACGCTATTAAACACCATATCTGTCGATTTAGGCTGTATTTCTGAAGAGTAAGCTGAGTAATGCAGTCCTTCAAGTTACAATATCTCAGCAGCAGCTATTCCAGCTGGACTTCAAGACATATAATTTAAGAACAAGATAAGCCAACAGAACAAGGTGGTTTTAAACAGCCCTCTATTTCAGATGCTGTACATCACACTATGCTAGCTTGAACCCTCCCCAAAATAGCAGCAGACTACTTTAAATGCAAAGGCTTACAACACAAAGCTTTATAAGCTATTAGACCAAATAATTCAAAAAAAAAATTCATCTTAATACATACGTTCTTGGCCAAAAGTGTTTGCTCCTTTTAACTCCAAAGACAGTGAAGAAAAATATCTACAGAGTTCCCAATAGCAACAATCTTTCCTTACTATGCACTTCCTAAGAGTCTATCCATAACACTCCTTCAGGGACAGACCCATATAAGTAAACCTGGAAGCCTGCTATCTCCACACTGACACTTCACACCTGTGCCTTTACACCACTGCATAGACTATGCTCTGTAAGCCAGCTGTACATCTTGTTTACCTACTTAATACCTCTAAACCGGAACCCATACTTTAAAGGGCTGCAAGAGAAAAGGAACAGAGCAGCAAGGAAAAATATCGCTTTTTGCGAACCCTTCTAAAGGCAAGCAAGCAAGCATCATCCTTTTACCTCAACCCAGTCCTAGCTTTGCCTGTAAAGCTAGCAAGTAGCAAAAACAACTTCTCTCTGCAGCGCTGAGAGCCCCTTTCCAGCAACGCTCCCGACAAATACCTCTTGCTTGGTTATGAAGGAAATGTGCACTGAGGACCACCTTGGGCATTCAGGGCAAAGGAACAGATGGGGACTGGGCCAATGGCCCCAAACAACCGTGCCAGGTGGGAAGAAGCAGGAAAGGGGTTGGGGGGGGGGTGAGAAAGAGAGAGGAAGGAGATGGAGGAAGAAAAAGCAGCCAGGAGGGCACAACAGCTGCTTCCAATGCGCCAGCGAGTGCCCTGCAGGCCAGGCAAGAGCGGGGAAAGCAAGGAGCAGCCCTCGCTCTCTGCCCCCTCTCTCGACAAGCCTCCCGGTCGCGGTGCCGGCCGAGACGCGGCCACCGGCTCACCTTCGATAGCGATGACATGTTCGCGGATCTGATTCTGCAGCACGGGCTCCTCCACGCGCTCCAGCAGCTCGTAGATGGAGTAGATGTTGGGGTGCACGGACTCGAAGCGCTGGATCTCGGCTCGGATGGCTGCCGAGTTGGCCAGCTGCTGCTGGTAGTTCATGGTGCGGCCGCTCCCCTCCTCCTCCTCCTC